AAAGATTAAAATTAAACAAATCCAGCTGTTCCTTCAAACAGAGATACCCAACATCTCAGAATTAAGCTAAGCTATTGTGTGTTTTCCTCATTAACCTCAATAAGCATGAATCACACTGCAATGAGGAATTTATGAAGAGGATTTGGGGAATAATAATCACTCTTCATATGTAATATGAAAATCCTATTATGCTTCTACAAATCGTATTAAGAATATTTCACATAAAATCTGTTCCCATTCAACCAGAAGGGGAAATGGCTAGAAAGGATGTTTTCAAGACAACCTCTCATTCGTTGCCTAAACTGTAACCCACAAATATGTTGTACCACAGAGTATTTAAAAGTTTCCATAAAGGTAATATTTCAATTCTGAAATGTATCAGAAAAATCTCAAGAAGACTGGGATTTTAATACTGTAGGTCATTTCTGAATCTTTGTTTTTTAATACTAGTAAGATCATGGACCACTGCAGGCAAGGTGCTACCTTCCCAACTTTGAATAAATTCTCCTGGATGTGTTTGTAACTGACTGCCTGCAACACTCAAGTGTGAAGTGAAAGCTCAAACTCTGAGGCTGGCTTTCCTGGCTCTAGCTTTTGCCCCTTCAATATTCCAACGCCAGTTTGTGGAGAAATTAAACACTTCCAAATTAAAAATGTTTGCACAAGCAGCTGGACCTGAGGTTATTTATGACAAAGGAACTGACTGAATGTTAGGCTGCCCAAGATGACATAAAGTATTTACATAAGCCAATCCTCAGAGACGGAGATTTCCTTTAACTTTCCTGGTCATTCCAATCTAAAATAATACATATAACGTAAGTACTATTGCTCTACTACAGTCTGTAGGAGAAAATCTGGAATTCATTGACCTACACTCTTGGATGGAAACATACAGTGAATGGATGTTTAAATACCAGCAGTTTCTAAAGTCTTTCTGAGCTGGAGTCAGTTTAGTAATCCTCCTATTTCTTTTGGATTGCAAATCTGTGGCCAGTTTTCTTGGCCCAACATTTTGAAGAATCCCCATTGCCTCTGTCACTGAAGAAGATGTTGGAAACTGGAAATAGCCACATATCCTAGGAGATGAGTATTGCCAAATGAAAGAACACTGAGTTTTCACCAAGTCCAAAGAAGAATGCAATAATTGAGCTTTCTTTGCAAACTCAGGGCACTGATGAACTCTTTGGAGAAACGTTTTAACCTAAGGCTAATTTTTTTTCGCTTAGCTGCAGAAGACAGCTGTCTCTTGACTTAACTAAACCAACTTTTCACTTCTATGTTCTCTGTGTGCCGGGAGACACATCACTACCCAGGACCATGGCAGGACACTGCTCTCTTGTTGCACTGCATACTTTTCAACTTTTAAATATTGGTTGAAGAAAACAAACTGAAGAAATAAGCAATTCTATCACAACCAAGAAAATCAAACCATTGCTCTTAGAAGAACTAAGGCAGATTAAAAAACAACAATATAAATATTAAAAACAAAGGTCATTTGCGTTCATTTTCTTTTCAAATATCGCATTTTTCTACCTTAGTAATTTTTCTCAGAATATGTATTTAGTCCCTAGATGTGGGGAAAACTTGTCTTCTGATCAAATTAAGTTATTTTAATGGGCACTTTGGATCTGCAAAAGAAAATGAAAGGAAGAAAGAAAATGTCTTCTCAAGGGAAAAAAAGACAAGCTAAATGAGAGACCATAATTTTGAGCATCCACTAACTTGCTTAAGAGATCTCTGCAGAATCTATTGAATCCTGCATTCTGTCAATCCAATTCAAGTAACATTGCCACCAGTAGGCCATATTGACTGTGACATCTGCTGAGATGCATTTAATCTATTTGTTTTAAGAAGCTGAAGAACTTCTAAGAACTCATGCTAAAAAACTCTGCCACTAGTAAATATTGCTATTAATCCCCATAAATCTTTATGAGGAACATTTTAGTGTTTTACTTGCATTATTTTACTTAATCTGCACAGTAACCCAAGGATGTGTGCAAACATTCAAGCTCTGCTTTGTAAAAACAAAAACAAGGACTAGATAAGCAAAACCTTATTCTCTTCACTACCAAATCTCCCATTTTCTTTCATCAAGTGTCAACCTGAGTAAAGAGAAGCATGACACTTTCAAGATTAGACATCAGATGAGCCACCACATAATGCTAGTGTCAGAATGAATCCTAACAAGGAGAGCTCACCTCAAGGGACTTCTAATAACCATCCATCTTATGTCTTCAAAGTGAACAAAACCATTTTCTATGAGAAATAACCCTTAAAATTGTCTGAGACTATTAAATATTCTTCTCAACTCTATATGCTGGGAATATGAAACCACTTAAAGGAAATGTTAAATACTTTTTTCATCACATTAAAGGATTCTTCTCTGCAATATTTTTAAGTAATTAAATTGGCTCATTTTAGTGCCCTAGATTCTGGCCAGTTTGATTATTTATACAAATTACAGATATAAAAATGACATAGATACTATGATATTTGATTGGCCATTGCCATTGCTACCCATTGGACAGAAGCTTGACAGGAATCAAATGCTACCTTAGTTTTTGCTCAGTCCACAACTGCACAAAGAGCCAAAGGCACCTCATAGGATTTACTGAATTGAAAAACAAACAGAGGCTGGAGAGGTGGCTCAGTGGGTAAATGCTTGCTACACAAATATCAACACTGAAGTTCAGATCTCCAGCACCAAGTAAAAACCTAGTAAGGCTGTAATCCTGAATGTGGCTGAGGAATGGGAAGATGCAGGCAGATTCTTGGGGCTTTCTGGCCAATCAGTCCAGCAGAAACTTCAAGTTCATCGAGAGACCCTGTCGTGTTGGGGAAGTCCTGTGTATATGTCAATAAAGCACTGTTGGCCAATAGGGAAGCAAGATAGGTGGGGCTAGGAGTCCAGGAGGACTCTGGGTAGGAGAAACACAGGAAGTCAAGATGTAACTGCCATAGGGCTAAGAAGCCCAGAAAGTTCTCCGGTAAGAGAAATACTTAGATTAACAATTATGGGATAAATAGTTAAGTCAGAGCTAGTCAGTAAGAAACAAGCAAGGCCAACAGCTTCATAATTAATATGTGTGTTTATTTGGGACTGATGTGGCTCTGGAACCAGGCTGGCAGGAAGGCTCTTTACACTGTCTCAAATATCTAAAATAAAGATGAGATTGAGATCTGCACATGAATTCCTGTATACAAATGAATATCACACACATACAAAGTAATTTCATCACAATGACACACATTCCCTCCTCAAATTTTAATGATCTTATAAAGTGTCTTAGTCAATGTTCTATTGATGTGAAGAGACACCATCACCACAAAAACTCTTATAAAGGAAAATTTAATTGGGTTGGCTTACAGTTCAGAGGTTCAGTCTAGTCCATCACCATCATGGTGGGACATGGCAACATGCAGGCAGACATGGTGTTGGAAGGTAGATGAGAGTTTTACGTCTTGTGCAGGCAACACTGTCTCACTGGATGTGACTTTAACATACAGGAGACCTCAAAGTCCACCTCCACAGTGACACACTGTCTCCTATAAGGCCACACCTACTCCAACAAGGCCACACCTCCTAATAGGGCCACTCCCTATGTACTTATGGGGGAAATTACTTTCAAACTAGCACATAAAAAGATAAATTGATAAAGAAAGTTAAGTGCAGTCTCTTGGAAAGAAAACAAGATATAGCAAGGCCCAGGTCCCCATCCCCATATGCCACTGCTGGAAACTGATGGAGAAGAAGGACTCATGCTTGTAATTCTTGCCTAATTAACCCTGGATAGCCTTTAATGTTTCCCTTTTCCTCAATGAAACTGGTTATTCTCACTGTGCCACCCATCACAAGTTGCTGAGGATGCAAAAGCGTGACAGTTATACATTCACAAGGCATCTACTCTTTAGAACTCAATTCTATAACATTATAAGGAATCATTATCATCCATGTGTTTTTTTTCCTATAAAAACTTGTGTAGTTGGTCTTTTTCACTCTTTACTCTTTAGGAGCCCACGACCCAGCCCCAAATAAATGCACGGAGACTTATTCTTTCTTTTTTTGTTGTTTTTTTTCAAGACATTGTTTCTCTGTATTGTTTTGGAGGCTGTCCTGGAACTTGCTCTGTAGACCAGGCTGGCCTCGAACTCACAGAGATCCACCTGCCTCTGCCTCCTGAGTGCTGGGATTAAAGGCATGCGCCACCAACGCTTGGCTGACTTATTCTTTCTTATAAATACCTGGCCTTAACTTGGTTTGTTTCTAGCCAGCTTTTCTTAAATTATCCCATCTACCCTTTTCCTCTAGGCTTTTACCTTTTTCTATCCCTGGGTATCTTTTCTTTCTTTCTTTCTTTCTTTCTTTCTTTCTTTCTTTCTTTCTTTCTTCCTTCCTTCCTTTCTTTCTTATTCTGTTTGGCTGGCTAGCTGGCCCCTGGCATTCTTCTCTCCTCCTTTTCCTTTCTTTTTCTTATTTATTCTCTCTACCTGACAACCATGCCTATCCCTCTCCTGCCTAGCTTTTCACCATTCAGCACTTTATTAGACCAATCAGTTGTTTTAGGTAGGAAAAGTAATACAGCTTCATGGAGTTAAACAAATGCAACATAAAAGAATGCAACACATTCATTGTTTGCATCATTAAACAAATATTTAACCGCATAAACAAATGTAACACACACTTAACTAATATTCCACAGCAAACAATAGGATTAACTTCAACAGTCAAAGAAACAGTAAGTGAAACACATGAATCATCTAAATATCTACCATAGGCCACAGCTCTCTTTGGAACAGGGAAGAGACTATATGGTAGTGATTAAGAAAGTTACCAAAGGCATCATAAAAATAAACAATGCATTCCAGATATTAGCAAGTAGCTTCATCCTTCCATTCATTCTCCCTCTATCCTTAGAAACCTGCTTATACTCACTTGTGAAGCCACACGCTTATATTTGCATTTCACAAAATTCCGTTTTTGCGTACAGCACATTTCTTACCATCCTCATTTTCGTCAAACACTGGGGCTTTGCTTGAAGTGTTGGCTCCCATGGTCAAGTCTACACTGATCTGGACACTCTAGTTACAGTATGCTGGAAGAAACATTCATCTTTGTCAGTATAGGTTCTGGAGAGTCAGCTGGTATCTACGAAAAGAAGAAAAAAAAGAAGTGGTATCCTTATAATATAGTTTGTGACAGATGCACTCAATGTAGACTGTAACAAAAGCATTAACTTGTATTACTGTAGCAGATTTTTTTATTTCCATTTAAAAATTATAATGGAAATGATAGTGGCTGGGCCAACAGGAGAAGGAAGCCACACTGAAGAATGTCATCAATAGCCAATCTGTGCTTACAACAGTAGGAGGAAAGCAAAATATTTTCCAAGGTAGTAAGATAAAAAATTAAGGTTAGGTCAGTTAAGTGACTATAAAATAAAAATAATATTAGCAAACCTCTATATTTTAAAGAAAGTAGACTAACTTTATATTTCCACATTTTTGCCATGTGATCAAGAACATTCTTAAAAATTTTCACTCCTAAGCATGAAGTTGCCTTATTTTCCATGCTCCTTGGAAGGTATCACACTGGACTGGATGTTACTAGCTCGTAGAAGGCATTTTCCAAACATTTTTCCTTGAACTTGGAGATGATAATGGTCTTTATCCCAAAGGAGAGTTAAATGTGATCCACATGCATTTAACTCTTTGTAAATATATAGCATATATAGACATGAATATTCATATTATGTGACTGGTATGTTGTATCAGAATGTGGCATTTGTAAGTTTTGTCTGTTTGGAGGCATATCCTCTTATAAAGCTTAGGCTGACCTTCAGTTCCCATTAGCTACCTCAGCTCTCAATAATTTGGAGAGTACAGGTTTGTTTACCGCTAGCCCTGGCTCTTATCTTTATGTACTGAGTACACAAATGTATATACATATTTAACACAATAAATAAAGTGCTTTTATGGTGTACATATATTCAGCAACTGATAATCATCCTAAAGTTCAAATTAAGCTATATAGCTAAGAGATAAGAGTGCCTTTGAAATGTACATTTATTCATTGATTCCTTTAAAAAACGTAAGTGCAAAGACTCTTGCCATACTGGAACCTATTAAGCAGAGGCAATGCCTGGGTTTCAGTCCTAAGAATTGCATGATCATGGCCTTGAAACAGTTACATAGCCTCTGGCCACTGAAACGGGGACATAACAGTGCCTCCTCCAGGAGTCACAAGCTGGAATGCCTTTAAGTGCCAAGAAGTTCACACAATGAACCAAACCGGACCAGGTACAGGACATTCAGGCATTATGAGGACAATGGCAGCACTGGCTTAATCTAAAAAAACGCACTTGAAATCAGACGAAGAAATTGTTGCTATGTGGAAACCCTAGCCAGGGAGGGATCTTTGGAACTTCTGAGACAGGGTGAAGAGCCAGGATTTATAAAAGAAGATTTTAAAATTCAGCTCAGTTCTACAGCTCAAAAAAAGTCATGCTCTGGACAAATATGATTTATAGATATAAGTAGAAAAGCAATAGAAGTGCAGCAATTAACAAAGTACCTGGCATATCCAGCATGAAAAGAATAAATCTTGTTTCTACTATTTTGACAGGTACAATATTCCCTTAGCATTTGTTATTTTTCAGTTGTTGACACTTGTTGACCTTTTGTTTTGATACTTTTTCCCCTTGGACTTTTTACACATGAAGAAAATGCAGATTAGATGCAGAATTAGAAGCATTATTCAAGATAGGCTGGTTTATGGATAAGTAATTTTTAAGAGAACTTAGGGAGTTCCTAGGGATAGTAGAAAAGCTCATTTTCTCATTAGGAAAATATAAGTCAAGATTTCATTTTGAAAGAAGATCCATTAAGGAATTGCTACTTTTCCAACTAAATGCCAACTGTTGGCAAAATGCCTTATGGTCTTTAGAAAGAATCATTAACTGTAGTGCAAAGAAAGAGTCAGCAATTAGGAAGTGACCAATTAAATGAGCTAGGGTTAGGAAGAGGGTTGAAGCAGGTGGCTGGTGGTTGCAGCAAGCTCAGTGGGATTATTGAGATCCAGGAAGATACAGAGACTACTGTCTATATAAGTTTAAAAATTAAAAATTAAAAAAAAAGAGAACAATGAATGAGGAAAAAGAATGTAGGGTGCCCATTGCATTTGATGGAGGGTTAAGAAACAGAATGGAGTAACCTTTGTGATTATTATTACGTGGAGTTAGGAAAAAATGAATAGCAATGACTCTACTCCTAGCAACATTAGAAAAATAAAATTGGTCCTATACCTTTTAAGGAACAATGGTTGTTTAACACCGCAGAGTCAGACTATACTCACGTCTGGTAAAAATCTGAATACACGCTTTCACATCACATAACAACTCGACCCCTCTTGTATTTGTCTTTGCACCGTATGTTTTTCTCAAGTAGCCCATCTCTCTGATACATAAGACATGCCAAGCATTGACCTTGAACTTTGTCAGGTCAGATGAGGAAAGAGGTGGGGAATGTTATCATGTTTTCCCACATTTCAGACTTCCTCTCCGGTGTGTAATTTTACTGGGCTAGCAATTTCACTGGGAGAAAAGTATATGTAAAGGTAACCGCTGCATGATGTTTAGAAGGGGACAAGTAAACAGTATCAGATGATAGCTTCGCATCTTCCCCCATGGTAGCTACCACACATAATCTAGCTGAGAATTGTCTTAACTTTTTCTCCCCCAAGTGGGTAACCAAATTAGGTAAGTATCTCTCATAACTAGAAAGAAATGGGCCTTTCTCTGGCAAGAAAATAGTGACTCATTCTTCCTACTCTGTTGAATAGAGAACAGGAGAAACGTTAAGATTCCCATAAAAACCTGTACTCCCCCTGACCTCCTGTCCCCAGTCCCAGAGTCAGCTAAGCATGCAGAGCAGCAACCATGCGAGGGAAGGGAAGAAGACAGATTTGTCTTGCAGGAATGGATAAAGGTTTACACTCAACTTTGAGCCCATAACTACCAGATTATTAAATGTAGCCTAATTTTCCAGTATCGGCATCTCAAGTGTGGCTTTGCAGCCCTGAACCATCAGGAAGTGGGCTTCTCGGATCAGCTCTGTCTCCCTAGTGACTCCTAGAACTGGAGAACACCAGGTGTGATGCAAGGATGTTGCAACATCTCACAGCACCGTGTAGATTTCATTATCACCGTGTGTGCACAGTCATAATTAATTTTTTTGCATTTGAGAAAAACAACCTAGAAACACAAGAAAGAGCAAGAAGGGGAAACATTCAAGATAGCAACATTCTACGTTAACAATTGTTTGTATTTTTCAACTTTGTTTCATGATTTTTAGGTATTGGAAGTTACAGGCAAGTAAACATTTCCACATTAACCCTCAAGCCAAATAGTCTGCCTTTTCCACCTCTCAAAGACAGCTCCTGGATCTGCACACACCTCCGCACTTTTAAAAGGGAGAGGTGTTTTAAAATAAGCCTCTGAACGGCACCACGAAGGGGGTGCACCTAGCATCCTGCTGTGCTCATTAGCCATCCTATTTCGGAGATCTAAGTATGAGCACGCACATCTTCACAACTCTGATGTATGCTTTTTAAGTGCTGCCTAGCAATCCATAGCGCGAATACAGCACTCTTCACTTTTCTGTGTGAAAATGTTCAAACTCTTCAGCTTTGGATGGGGCAGGGGACCTTGTGGAGACGACGACAAGCATACAGAAAGCAGGGCTAGTTCTTCTGAAACTAGATGAAAGAAGCTGGTGGGAAAACCTCCCCTCCCTCATTTCAACCCAGAGAACATTTCTTAAAGTCTTGTTGGGATCGAGGTGGTGCGAAACTGGAGGAGCAGATGAGGGCAGTAACTGGGGTGGATTCTATCGTCCATCTGGTTGTGACCCACCGTCTTTGTGTTTTCTCATCCCCATACCCTAGAACTTCTCAGCTTCCCACCAGTGCCCTTCTTCACTCAGGGCTATTCTGTCTGTGCAATCTCTACTCACCCACTGCGCGTCCTTCCTCCAGCCCTTCCGCTTACCTCTGGGTGATGCTTGCATTCGAGGAGCTGGGGCTGACCACACTCCGCAGGCCAAGAGCAATGGGGACAGAAGACACCGCGGGAGCAGCCAGGCAGGGCTGCGTGCTGGGCTCCAGGCACCTGGGGCTTGCAGAGGGGACCAAGCACAGCCGCGCAGCTCCCCAGCGAGGGGCGGGTCCCGGGAGAAGAGGGAAGCGCCTAGCAGTCCGCCAGGGGCGTCCCCAGACGGCGCCCTCCTCCGGAGCGGACTGCTAGTCGCCTGGACCCGTGCCAGTCGCCCTGGAACTGTGTGTCGTTAGCGCAGGGAAGGGGAACGGGGGAGGGGGGGCAAACGGCGGCGAGCGCCCCGGGAGGGCGAGCTGGAAAGCAGGAGGGCAGGAGGGCGTGGCTGGGAGCCTGGGTTTCTAGCAGCCGCATGCTGAGCGCTCCCCAACTTCTCAGATCCAGGCAGGAGGGGATTCTTCCAAAGCAGCCTGTGGAGAGGACTCCTGTCTCCCCACCCCACTCCTGGCACTGCCGCGGGGTGGTGGGTGTGCGGGTGGCAGGTACCAGAGGCGTAAGGACAGTCCTTGGCTTGCCCCATTTTATTGCTGTGGTAATTGAGGCTCAAGTGAGGGAATGGTTGCCCACAGTAGCAGAACCATCTGTGGGGAGATCTTCCTGGCCTCCAGCTTTCTCAGCATCTCTGTATGCTCACCTGCTGGTGAAAGAAACAGTGGGGATCCCCACAACTACAGAGAAAGTGACCAAAAGAGAGCCTTCAGGTCATCTTCCATGGCCGTTCCCTCTACTTCTCCCTGTAGTCATCATCACAAGTCATCATCACAGCTGAAGTAACTTGTCATTTCCCTCCAAGTCCAGGGTCACACTATTCCAGCCAGGAGAAGAGTGGTGCAGCTGCTTCAGAAATGACCCGTGTGATAGCGGGACAGCAGCCAGGCGGGAGCAAACCGGCAGTGGGGGATCTAGTTTGGAAGCAGCAATAAATTCTGTCCATCTTCATGTATCCCTGCCATATGGGAATCCCAGATAAGCGCTGTCGAATGCTCAGATCCGTAAAGAGAAACCGAAAATGAGAGCTTTGGGATTAAAACTGCCGTTATTTCTAAACATTTGCAAGTTTTAACAATGTTTTAAAAACTGTTTAAAAGCTGTTAGTAAAACAGAATGTGTCTGTGACTAAAATGTCTTCAGAGCGCTACTTGTGCCTTCACGAGAGTGGAAATACAGAATCATACTGAACTTCTCAGTGTGCCCTTGGTGTCTGAAGCCTCAGCAAGGGCACAAGGGAATGAATGTTTCAGGATGAGACTTTGCCGTCCTTGCTCCAGCCACTTTCCTAATCTTTCTCAGTTAAACATGAACTATGTTCCTCCCAAGTGTTTTAAAACTCGGAGCTGCCTTTATATTACCCACGTGTCCGTTTTGCCTTGGGCATCCAAAGGGAAAACTGTGCTTAAACTTTTGGAGGAGTTGCAGCCAAACTGAGAACGCACAGGCGGGTGTGGGAATGGAGGGGCGCTTACTTCTCTGCTCTTTTTGTTTCTACATCTTTGTGTTGCTTATGAAATACCTCTTTGGACAGGAATTGGACGCTACAAATTAAAATTTAATGTGAAGTTTGACATAGCTTGCACATGGGAGCTAAAAGCAGCCCGGGGGAAAAAGTAAAAATTTAATGAATTCATTATGGTAAAGGTTTTATTTTTAAAGCAAAATGTAGGTACCTGCCAATAATATTATTTTGTATAGCCTCTTTTAGTTAACAAAACTCTTGATTATCGAGGGATTGGACATGCACTACAAATTGACTTAGCCTATATTAATATCATTAATATATTCCTAGTCTCCCAACACATATTGAGTTCTGTTTTATCATCCAAGAAACTAACACAGCAAGGACGTGAACTGAGACAAGATCCAAGTCCCCAGGGATCTCTCAGGTTGACATGGAGAGTTGTAGAATCAGACAGTCTTCTAGCCAAATGCCCAAACTGCCATCTCTGGAGTGCTCTCTAAGTCACCTAAAGGCCACGAGTTTCAATTTTTCAATGTCAGAAAAGACATCTGTTGTCAGAGGATGATTGAATGAGAGGCATAATAGTAAACCTGTTCAGCACCGAATACACACGCAGATTAGCAGCTGTTAAAGTTCCCATTTCAGGCCTGCTCAGTGGTCCAAGAGCACTTCTTTCTCTTGCAAGGGACCCAGCTTTAATCCCCAGCACCAACATGGTGCTTCACAACCATGTGTTACTCCAGTCTCTGGGGATCTGATGTCCTCTTCTGACTTCCATGGACACTAAGCATGCACATGAGTACATGTAAATACATGCAGAGAAAACTCACATAAAATAAAAATTTAAGGAGAACACTCCTCAACTGCTGGTGGGAGTGCCAACTCATACAGCCACTTTGGAAATCAGTATGGAGGTTACTCAGGAAAATGGGAATCAGTCTACCACAAGACCCAGCAATTCCACTCTTAGGCATATACCCAAAAGATGCACATTCATAAAAGGATATCTGTTCAATTCATCTGTTCTACTATGTCCATATCAGCATTATTTGTAGTAGTTAGAATCTGGAAGTAGCCTAGATGCCCCTCAACTGAAGAATGGATAGAGAAAATGTGGTTCATTTATACAATGGAGTACTACTCAGCAGAAAAAAAAACAATGATGGAATCTTGAAATTCACAGGCTGGTGAAACCCATAGAAACAGCTGACCTGAACAAGGGGGAGTTCATGAACCCCAGACTGATGGCTGGGAAACCAGCATAGGACCCATCCAGACCCAGTGAATGTGGATATCACTTAGGAGGCCTGGGAAACCTATGGGGCCTCTGGTAGTAGATCAATATTTATCCCTAGTATACAAATGTACTTTGGGAGTCCATTCCACATAGAGGGATACTCTCTCAGCCCTCCTCCAAATGATGTTAGACTTGAAGTTCCCCCATGGAAGGTCTCACCCTCTCTGGGGAGCAGAAAGGGGATGGAGTAGGATACTTGTGGGGGCATGGGAGTAAGGGAGGGAGAAAGAACTGGGATTGACATGTAAAACAAGCTTGTTTCTAATTTAAATTTTAAAAATCTGGAAAAAGAAAGAATGAAGTCGTAGCTAAATGATTGGTACTGTAGGCTATGGACCATCTTTTAAATAAAAAGAAAATAAAAATTTTAAAGTCTAATGAAAAATTTAAAAGATCGCCATTTCAGTAAAAGAACTATTAGGCTGTACCCCATCCTTCTTAGACCTGCTCTGTAAGCAATTCTTCTGCAGCTTCAGTCACTTTCGCTTAAAACAAAGCTGCCATTTAGTCAAGTGCATGTGCCCCTTATAATCTTAGCAGACAAGAGGCTTTATTTTTTAAAGTTATATTGCTCATGCACATAAAACAAGGCATGGCATACCTTCATGAGTATGTTGATCAGGGAGGCCATAGAGGTCTTCAGAACAACACAGGTTATTGCCACTTCCCGTGGTTACGCACCATAACTACTTGGTGAAGAGCCTATCACTGAAGACATAGAGAAGCAAATCTTAAACTAACAGGAGAAAGTCCCCCCCCCACTTGGCTAGCTTTTATAGTGTTGGCGTGTGCTATGAAGGTTCCTGGGGGAGGAAAGCATCAATGGTCTTCTCCAGCATAGGACTCGGCATGCTATAATACCCACCTGCCCCACCATGCAATAGTGACACAAGCGTTATAGGCTAATGACTTTCTGATTGGATTTGAGGTCTGTGTCACAGGAGGGATGTGAAGCCTGGTACTGTAATCCTTGTAAAAAGTCCATGGTGTGGGGGGTCATAGGCCCTAGGCTAGAACTTGCTATTGTTGTTTTGCTTAGCAGTCATGTTGTGAAATTGCCTCTAAATATTACTGTTTATATAACTAGAGTTGGACTTCTCTCAGCCTTTGTCAGAGAAGCTTCTTTTTGTTCTTGTTGTTGTTTGCAGTGAATAGCAGTCAATGTAGATATGCATGACTATCTAAGGCCCTGGGGACAGGAGACAGAAGACCTAAATGGGACATCTACAAATTATCCCCACACAATTCCAAGACTCAGGGATCATTGAAGAAGAGAAAACACAAAGAATGTTAAGAGCTGGAGGGTGGGAAGGAGAGATGTGAAATGCTTCCTTTTGTGCATGGTTTGGACCTATGAACTCACAGCAGCTGTGGTTCCCTGGACAAGATCTGCACAACACCAAGCCAGCCACCATGCCATCATAACAGGGCTAACAAATCTCTAGGACACACCTCATACCAAGGATGTGGAGAGCTGCAGGAAGAGGGAGAATCATTCTTTTTGACAATAGGAATGGTGGGGTTCTCATAATCTAATAGATGACCCTGTACAACATATGAACAGCACCGACTGCACTTAGCTGGCTATCAGTTTGGAAGGGGTGTGTCGGGGTGAGATGATCATATTTCATTGTAAACATGTATGGAAGTTTCAAAAGTAATAAACAATTTATGGGTGTATCCTGTCTATCAAGAGCAGAATTGTTTCAACGAGATAATCGTACTTTATTCTCTTTTTTTATTTAATTGTTCATGTTTTCCACTGTTCCTATTGCTCACTTGTGCGCCAGCAGTTGTGAGGAAAGGGCAGCCTGCCACAGCCTACCTTGGTCCTTTCTTGGCCAACAGGGCTATATGCATCTGTCAATCTCTGGAGCCCCCCAGTGGAGAGGAGATTGAATTAGCCAAGGGTGCGGTGAGGAAATTAAAAGTAAATCATAGTTTACATCACAAGTTTTAATACCATGAACTCCAACCACATACCTCTTGTCTTGAAATAGTCTGTTCCACTGCAGATAAAATAAAATGATGTTCTTTACCTGTCTTAGTTACGGTTCTGTTGCTGTGAAGAGACAGCATGACCAAGGCAGCTCTTAAAAAAGAGGACTTTTCACTGGAAACTTGCTTGCAGTTTCAGGTTAGTCTGTTATGACCATGGTGGGGGAGCATAGCAGCACACGTGGCAGGGGAAGCAGCTGAGAGCTACATCTTGACTTGTAGTCAGGCGGATAGACCCACTGGGATTGCTGTGGGCTTTTGAAACTTGCAAGCCTACTCCCAGTGACACACTACCTCCAACAAGACTACACCTAATTTTTCCCAAACAGATTATCAACTAGGGACTAAGCATGCAAATATAGGAGTCTCTGGGGGCCAATCTCCTTCAGACCACCACATTACCCCATCAGTCATAAACCGTGTGTCCTTGCCACTCTGTTCA